GGCCGGGCCGGGCCGGGACACCCAACGGTGGGCGCTGTGCTTGCAGAGGGCTTGCGGGAGTACTTCAGCCAGTTCGGCGAGGTGAAGGAGTGCCTGGTGATGCGGGACCCGCTGACAAAGAGATCCAGGTGAGAGGCCGGGCCCGCGCCTCCCTTCGCCCCCGCCGCCGCCCGGCCGCCACTTTAACCAACCTTCTCTCTTCTCTCCGCATCCCCTCTCCTGCCCGGGCTGCGGGGCTCAGGGGCTTCGGGTTCGTCACGTTCATGGACCAGGCTGGCGTCGACAAGGTCCTGGCCCAATCCAGACATGAACTGGACTCCAAGACGGTGAGATGACTTCTCTCATCTCAGGGGTGCATTTGCCGGTGGAGCGGCTGTGCTCGGAGCAGCCGTCGATTGCGGTGTTTGATTTCCAGTTAGAGGTTGTAAACTATCGATTCCCAATGTGGATTAATTGGCCCCCTCTGTGTCCCGCTCACTGGCGGGTAGCCCAGCTGCCACCCGAGCACTGGGCTCACTGTCAACCTGGGGCTGATGTCCTGGCGTGGGTCTGCAGATCCTGGTCTCCTCCCACCCATCGGTTGTAAGGCTCCCCCGAGGAGTGACTGTGGCCCCCTCAGAGCTGGGACACCGGAGCACCTTTGGGGCGAGAATTCACACCAGGAAACAGATGCGTTTGGGTAGAGGGGAGCTGCCCCTGCCCCCCATGTGCTGCTGAGCATCGCTCCCTCCCCAGGCGTGCCATCCCCCACTGCCCAGGCCCCGCTTCCCCCAGCCATGGTGGCCCTTGCCCTCCTCTCGGCAGACAGCCTTCGTGCCGCGTGCCCCAGAGACTCTCCTGTCGTTTTCCCCAGGCGAAGTTTTTGTAACGGTCATGGAGGTTCAAGACTTTATTGTCTCTAAGCATGGCCAGCGCCCGCCCATGTGGGCCACCACCAGCCTCTCGGAGCAGCCGTGGCTCTGGCCCTCGCTCTGCAAGCGGAGGCTGATTATGAGCCCCAGCTGGGCCAGCAGAAAGATTTCAGTGGCTTCCTGGATCGGTGGTGTATCGTGCCCGGTCCTGCCTTGCAAATCTGTGGCGCTCCGGAGATGTGCAGGCTGTTTCAGGGGGTGGGGGTGCGGTGTCTGAGTGGGAGGTCCCTTGTCTTTAGTTTTAGCGACTTGCCTTCCCCTGAATTCCTTTTCCCTTATTGCTGCCCCAGGGTGAAGGTGAGGGTAGGGATGGGGGAGCAGCGGGGGCTGCGTGGGGGTGGCACGGTGAGGGGAGATGTTCCAGCTCCGGGCACAGGCTGCTGAGGAGTCCAAATGCGCAACTTTATTTCTTCCAGCGCGTGGCTCGGGCGTCCTAGCCTTTATCTTGGCAGAAGGGAGAGGGCGGGAGAGCGAGACCCCCTTTCTTAGGGTTTACAGCGTGAGTTGCAGCGAGATTTATGTCTGTTCCTGTTTAACTGCCTGGATCGCTCCCTTTGATGTGCACAGGTCCTTCCTCCCCACGGGAGCTCCCGGTTAAACCTACCCCAGCCTTCCTGGCCGAGGCTGGGTCACCAGGACTCCCAGCCCTCCTCCTTTCAGGAGTGATGTAAAGTGAGTTTTGCTCTGGGGGAGGGTTACGGTAAAGTCTTTTAAGGAGGGCCCAGGGCTTTCGTTTTTTTTTTTTTTTTTTCTTTTTTTTTACTAGCCTGTGTAAACACGGTGTCTGCTCAGCTAGTCCCGTCATGAGTCTGTGGGCTGGCATAAGACCCCTCTTGGAAAGGCAAGTGATGGATGTCTGTTGTAGTGCTAATCTCGAAAGCGTTTTGGGGGCTAGGAGCGAGTAGAAACCCAGCGTCTCCATTCTTCTCCCCGAACCACTGCTGCTGCCTGTGCAAAGCCACTCCATGGCCCACCGTGCGGACCGTGAGGGCGGGAGGGACGGGCAGGGCAGGGCAGGGGTGGACGGGCGGGCGCTGCAGGAGAACAGAAGGGACTCGTGGCGCAGGGCGCGTGGGCCCCGGCCAGCCATTGAAATTCCTGGCTGCATCTGCTCCGCTTGCCCCACCGGCGCGGCAGAGAGAATGGGGGCAGTTTCGCCAGGGCCCTTCCTTTGTTAGGAACTTTGATTCTCTCCCCCCTTCCTTTTTATTTTTTATTTAGCTTGGTTTTCAGCTGGGTCAGATGTTCTGGGGCGTTTTGCCTGGTGAGAGGTTGGTCTTGTGGTACCGCATGGAGCCTCCGTATGGCTTTTCCCTGCTGAGCTGAACGGCTCTGCTGTGAGTCATGGGTTAAATGACACAAACTCATCTGAATCTTAATTTAGGGTTTTATGAAACTTTGCAGGAAAAGGCCTGGTGTCCTGGAAGGACAGCCTTCTCTCAAGGCTTGGTGTCTCCTGGCAAGCCGCACTTGGTAGACAGTGTCTGCCCAACTTGTTGCTTCATTGTTTTCTGATTCTTCCTACCCTAACGAGTGCTGTTTGCCCCATTCTCCGGGGAAACCTTGTGCTTTTCAGACTCCTCTTTGTTTGTAAGCTAGATAGCAGCAGCCTACGGGGTTATTTATGGAAATGCGTGATATGAGAATTGGCTTTGCAGTCTCAAGGTAAAAGATTTGCGTGACTTTGTAAAGCTGCAGCTGGCCGGTGCCTTGAAGAGTGGGCTTGGTGGTGCTGGGTCGCCCTGTCGTTTCTTTGTTGCCGTTACCGAGTTTTTTGCTGGGTTTGTCTTTTGTGGCGGAGGGAGCGATCTGCGGCTCTCAGGCAGCGCAGAGCAGTGGAGCGAAAGTAGCTGTGGAGGTGCGATGAATGAACAAACCCAGTCCTGAGGTCTCACGGGTCCTTCCCTGTCCTCTGCCTGCTTTGGGGCACTGAAACCAGCCGGCTTAATGCAGGAGTTATATGACCTGAGCCATTAAATGGTGCCATAGGTGGCCTGAAGAGTGTTACTGAGGAGCCCGGCCGATCCGCTTGGTACACCTGCGACGTCAGTGGGATTCCTTGTCCTCAAAGCCTTGTGGGGTGAAGTGGAAGCAGTTTGTGCTCGAGTGACTTCCACTCACCACAGCCTGATCCTGGGGTTTTGTTTTTCGGATACAATCTGAGCAGTTCTGAATGCTCTTACTCTTAGCAGATTTCTATCTAGGTTTGTAAAAAGGATCCATTACGTCAGTGGGTGACACTGAAACACAACTCCTCCAGGGCTATTTGTTTTAACACCAGAAATGAGGGAATACGGTACCAGTGCTTTTGCTTTAATTAGAAAGACTCCAGCCACCGAGGAGCAGTCCAGTTCGAGTAACTTGAGTCCGGCATTGAACTCGCTCCCCTCCGCGTGTTCCCAGGGCTGCCCCTGCAGTCGATCGCCCCGGCCTCCCTCTACCTGCAACAATAGCTGGTTGTGCAGAAGAATTTGTGAAATGACTGCCTGCTCCCTGCAGCCAGGAGGACGCGTTATCTCTGCCCAGTTGATCACACTCAGGGTAATGAGAAAATGAGGCCGAGCTTAGCATTGCTGAGTTTGAAAGCATCTTCTTGGCAGGAGCTGAATGACACTGGCTGAGAAGTAAAAGACAGTAGATTATTGTTTTTGCTTATTATCTGCCATCAACCTCCTGGTCTCCTGCCGTCCCCTGTCCTCAGAATTTGCTGTGGGTGTCTGTGCTAGCCAGGAAGCTCTGTGTGTGTGGGGGGGTGTGCGCAGGGAGGGGAGGGAGGGTTCGGATGCCCCAGGGAGGCACCGGAGGGTATGCTAATCTGCTGGCGCTTGGAGCTTGGGGAGGGAGGTTTATTTTTGAGTTTATTTGTGCTCTTCACTTTTGCCTCTGTTTACTTACGTGCTGAGTTTATTTATGTTGTAGGCTGTGAGTCAGGATGGAGGTGGGGAAGGCAGGGAGAGAAGCTGGTGGAAGGGCACGGGGAGGCCGAACTCCGGGGCTATGTGACAAGTGAAAGGATGCGGGACAGGAGGGTGGCCAGGCTGGAAAGCTGAACAAAGCAGCGAGAGGAGCCGGAGAGACACGGCTTCCTTTTGGGCTGTTTGAGCTGCTGGGCCGATGGGACGATGCTCCGGGCTGCCCTCCCAGCTGCAGCCTGTCCAAGTGTGGGGATGAGCCAAACTTGCCTTTGCCACTGGTCTTCGTAAGCTGATTTGTAGGTCTGGATCATCCCCGGTGTGATGTAACTTTACAGGAGTTGCTGTAAAAATAGGCTCTAAAGAAAGAGGTGGTGGCTGAGGAGTGGAGGCTTCGTGGGTGTTTGGCTTGCAGCTGCGTTAGTGTTGTCCCGGCTTTTGTGGTGGTGTGAGGCCAATACAGGCACACGCTCCTCCGTGCTGAGCCCAGCAGAACGTGCAGCACCTGGATGGCGGCGCGGGGACGGCAGCTCCGGCCGGCGGCAGGTTTATAGAGAAGCTGAACAGGCACAATGGAGGGCTCAGCCTGCGGAGGGGAGGCATCGCGTCATTGTGTGCAGCGCAGCCTGGGGAGAGGGGCAGCGTGCTGCCCTGCAGCCACAGCCTCTGCAGCCTGTGGGGCTTAGGACTCCTCGCTTTAATTTGTGCCGTCCTGTCTGCTCTTGTATTTCTTCACCCTGTGTTTTGTGGGATGAAATGTTTGGCTTTTTATGCGCTGTCTCTTTTCTGTCCTGTTTTACTACCCAGGTGAGCTCTGTGCTTGTAGGTGGAGTGGACGGGGAGAGTAAAAAGGCAAAAGAAAGCACTTTTAATGTGAGGCTGGTGATGCAGGGCACCCAGGGGCAGGCCGAGCAGGAGGGTGCAGCTCAGCCTGTTAATCCCAGCATGTGATGGGCTCTCGGGTGCGTCTGGCCAGCGCTCAGCCAGCGACAGACCACTGCATGCTGGGACTTGTAGTCTCCCTGGATTACACCTTACCGAGAGGGAAAGATGTCTGCAGCCAGCTTCTTTTTATGTACCTCAGGTAGATTCTTTGGGGTTTTAGCAAGGTGCCACGCGGGCAGGGACAGCCGTGCGCATGGAGGAAACCCTGCGTCTGTGAATAGGCAGCAAAAGTGTGTTCACCTGTTCTTCCCCGCATCTCTTTCAGATTGACCCAAAGGTAGCATTCCCTCGCCGAGCACAGCCCAAGGTAAGTACTGCAGGCAGCCTTTGCCACTCCAAAGGGTGAAGTTCGTGGTGGTGAATCTTGTCCCTCTGTGCAAGGCTGCCAGTGCACGCAGCGGAGTTGCTCCCTGGAGTTTGCTCAGGACTTACCTGGAGCAGGAGCTGCAGTGCTGCATGGCCAGCGTGACGTGCTGCGCTACGGTGCGCTCCTGTCGGGTTCGCAGCTCAGCGCTGGGGATGCATGTGGCACTGGAGGAACCAGGAGGCCCCTCCATTGTACTTTAGGATGCACTGGTTATTGCTGTTGAAACAAATGCTGCCTAGGGTGAACTTGGTCCTTCTGAGGTTGCAGCTGGTGTCTGGAAGTTTCAGGCCTTAGGAGGTACAGAACAGCTTCATGCTGCAACGTGATTTGGGTGGAAGGGGGGTCGTGTGTATGGATAGGTGTATGTCAGAGAGGGGGAGAAGGATTTAATTTTCGGGAAATGCCCTTGTGTGCTTCACCACTGGAAAAGGCAGAAGGAGTTTGGTGTTGGACCTTATCTACAAGAGGCTCTGGCATCGAAATGCACAGTTGCAGGCACTTTTTCCAGGCGTGCAGCTAGAAACTTTTAACTGAGGAGCCGGCAGCAGGCTGGAGACTGCCTCTAGACTTTGGGTCTCCCTTTAACTTTGCTCTTGAACAGGAATTTTAAAGTTTAGAGTCTGTATTCCAAGTGCTGTGACAGGAGAAAGAGCTGGGGAGAAGCAGTGTCAAGAAGCAGAGAGGGAAGAGGAGACTGGTGCCGGGAGGGAAGTAAGGGGGATCAGGCACTGAGAACAATTGGTGAGCAGGTATCCCGAGTAACTGGAGCCAGGAAGCACATGGTAGGAATTGGGTTAATTCCATTAAGCAGTTTGGTGACAGAAGGTGCTTTAGTGTTAGAACGGGCTGCTCTCCAAGCCAGGGAATTGCTGCGGATTAGCCCTATGCTCCTTGGGGTAATTAGGACCATGTGTTCCTCTGAGAGCAGGGGTGTAGCCAAGCAGCTAAGGGGAGGATGCAGCTGGAGAGCTGGTTCAAAAGATGTCGGTGTGCCTCAGCCTGGCAGCAATGGCCCCTCGCAGGGTAGTTAGTTTTCTTCCTTGTCCCAGCGGCGTGAGTGACAAGTGGCAGAGGGATCTTCTCTTTGCCTTCTTGCAAAGGCAAAAGAGATCTAACTGGGAGTTGAGTGGGCTCCATTTAAGTGACTGGGGAACGGGTCTGCAATGAGGCTTATTCCATGCATGACTGGATGCTGCCTGATTTGCGAGCTGGGAGGGTGAAGCCTGGGGAGCCTACCTGCACTGGCAGGCCTGCTGCCCGTCTTTCCGCTCTGGGAAGCAGAGCAGGCATCTCTGGGGGAGGCCGGCTGTGCAAAGTGGCAGGGCTGCAGGAAAAGCTGCAGGGCTGGGGAGGGGACAGCCGTGCCCCGCGTCTGCAGGGCCCTGTGAAGGTGCCAAGAGAGCAGCAGCAGGTTAGCAAGGGGAGAGGCTGGTAATGGGCTGTCTGACAAGGAGGTGGTGGCTGGGTGCTGGCAAGCACGATGGGGTGGTGTGAGAGTGTGCCTTGGTGTCCAGCGTTGGACAGACCTGCTGGCCGCTTTTGGCCAGGGGGCCTCGAGAAGGTGGAAACTCAGCTGCAGCGAAGGGGCAGGCGCTTCCTGGCAGCAGAGGGCAGTTAGTGGCCTTTTGAGTCTTGTTCTCTGCTTGCTCTGGGTTTATTCGGTGAATTCCTGTCCTTCCCTTTTCCAGATGGTGACCCGAACGAAGAAGATATTTGTGGGTGGTCTGTCCGTGAACACTACTGTGGAGGATGTGAAACAATATTTCGAGCAGTTCGGGAAGGTAAGTCTCTTGAGTGGCGTTGGATCAAAGCTGTTGCTTCTGGGGCAAAAAGGAGTTTTCTGAACTTCTGTGGAGGCAGGAGTAGGAGCTTGTGAGTCTTTTGCTCGGGTTTAAGTAGATTGAAGGTCAGTTACAGCCGCTGGGTGGCTGTAATGTCTTTGTAGGGGCTACAGCCAGTGACTCCTGCCCTGTGATGATTTGAAACAAGTGTTTGTGCTTGTTCCTGGAGTTGGTGGGACACGGGCTAAGGGAAATGGTTTTCCAGTTTTTCCCTCTCCAGAGGCCTCTTGTGGCCCACAGATTTGCAGTTTGTTCAAATGCTGGAGGAAGGTTTGTAGACGCTCCTAACAGAGCAGATGCAACATCAAACCTGTGATTTTGGCCTCTTCCTAACTCGGAGCCTCATGATTGATGTTTTGGTAATCCTTTACTAAAAATAAGCCTTTTGGTCCTGAAACTTCTCCTGCTTAGTCTTGGGCAAGTGTTGATGTTAGTTTTGGATGTTTAAAGAAAAATTTGGCACTACGGCTGTCCCTTGTGGTGGTCTGGCTCTTCTGTGCCAGCTGGTGGCTTGGGGAAGGGTGGGCTTCTGTGGATGGAAGTCACTTGTGCTATGGTCCCTGACAGCCAGAAGTGCAAATTGAGAGTGGGGACTGAATCGGAGGATAGAAGGGGGCTCAGTCTTGGCCCTCTGGTTCCCTGTCAGGAGGCTGTGAGTATCCCCAGGAGAAATCTCAGTAGCATTAGGCTGAAGGATCCCAAGATTTTTAATGGGATTAAGAACTGAAGGGGATCATCATACCCAAGTGCTGAACACGGTCACCTCTGAGGCAGGTCACTGTGACTGTTTCACTGTCGTTTGGTGGTGTTGTGCTTGCGTTTGCTGTTTGGGGCAGTAAGTGTTGGATTCTGTAGCTGTTTGGACCTTCTTGCCCAGCTGCAGGGACAGAACACAGTTTGCTGGGCGGTAGTCCGGCCAGGATGTTGCTGGTAGCATCATGGATGTGGAAAAAAGTGCCACATGAACTGTAGAGTGTGAGGGATGAAGGGTTTATTATTAGTTTTCTTCTGAAAGATCCTGCAAAAGGGTGATGTTATGTTAAGGCACATTAATTGGTGAAAGAAGGGGAGTTTTGTTACCGGTTTTGCCATATCATTGGAACTTTTGGGCAGAAAGTTTGGAACAAGTGTTTGCTCAGTACCTTTGTTCAGCTTCTGAAGTCAGATCTGCATGTCCTGTTGTGACTGCAAAGCGGCACTCTTTTGTATTTCTGTTCAGTCCTACGAGAAAGTGGCAATAGCAAAAGTGGTCAGATAATCCCTGTGTTTGTAGTTAGCTCTGTGTGGTTTTATTTTCTATTAGAAATAAGCAAACTCTGTTGTGTCCCCAAGAACTTTTACATGGTGTCACTGAAGGAGGATTGCATGTGCTTCTGCACTGCTGATGGATGTGTTCGATAGGAAAACAAAATGTCTTGGGCGTAATCCCCTTTTAACCTTAACTGTACCTCTGTTAATTTGAAGCAGAAGCATGTCATGTAGTGCTCTGTTTACAAGCAGCTACAGTTTCTCTAGTTTGAGAAGTACTTTCCAGTTCTTTTGGGATGTTTTGCTGTTGTGTTCCTCTTGTTTAATGGTCATGTGCTGAAAGGTGTCCTGACGTCAGGAGACTGGCAAGAACTAGTTGTGTCAGATTGTTTTCTTGCGACTGGGCAGAAGGGAGAGTTCTGCATAGCTCAGTGCAATTCATTTCCGAAGAACCAGCATCGCGCGCAACATCCGGCGCTCCAATGCCGCATGAGGCCGATGCAGCTGGCCTCTTGGCTCTGGGGAGTTTCTGTGGGGAGAGGTCAGGGCTGGTCAGATTGACTCTCCATTTTTGGGGCAGTTTTCTGACTCATCTGGCCCTTTCAGCTGAGGAGAGATTCCTTAGAGCTTTTGTATAAAGCAACTCTCCTGGCCTGTAACCATCCTCCAGGCTAAGCCTCAAATAATTCACTGAAGGCCAGGAGAACTGTTGCCTGAGAAATTCTCTCCAGTCAGTAGCTCCGTGTGGCTGATGCTCAGGATCAGTGGGAAAGCGTGTTTTGGAGGAAAGCCTCCATGTCCATCATCTCTGGGGTTCTGAGCTCTGAATGCGCTGCTCTGTGGTTTCTAGGGCTAAGAAAAGCCTGTTGCCTTCGATTTCAGATATGACTCATGGAGAACATGATTTTGGTACACAGACTCTTTTGGTGTTTGTTTATGATACTCTGGGGCCTCCTAGCTTTCAGAGGTCTCCTAGGAACCCTTCATAAGAGGTATTCTTGGCACCTGACTCTGTGGTCTTCCATCTCCTCAATTTATGGCATCTTTAAGTGAGAGGTGGTGAAGCTTCAGTTGTGTTATCCTCATCTTAGAAAGCCTCTCTGAAAAAGATCTTTTCTAAGCCATTTGGGCCAGTACTTCTTATGAAATTGGATTGGGAATGTCTGAAAAGGAATTGTTAATAAAGAACTTCCTTGGAGGACTTACCCTACAAGGAAATGGCTTTCTCTGTGTTCCTCCTTCTTCTGAGCAGCCCCACAGTTTTCTGGGATCTGGTGGGGAAAAAAATTGCTGCTTTTCCCTCCTTCCTTTCCAGGAAGGCATGAGAACGCTTAGCATCTAGAGAGGAGCACAAGTCATCCTGCCTTGATTCCTCAAGACCAAGGTACCAGGTTCCTAGGGGTGAGTTTTAGTCAATCTTTGAGAATCCAGTGGCAAGCTCAGTTTGGATCTCAGCTTCAGGGAGATATTGTCCTCTGCTTCCGAGGACAAGGGAGTACAGGCTCCTGAGTGGGTTTTGTGTGAAGGTTATCTTCTAGGTAACCCTCAGACCGCAAGCCTAAGTGTGTGTTAGATTTGCCACCACTTAAAGCCTTTAAATTATGGTAGATGCTTTTTGAAAAATACATTTTAGTCCAGAAAGAAAGCATGCATGTGCTGTTGGAATTATGAGAGGAAGTGCTATGGCCTGCAGTACAGATGAGGTCAAATTAGATTATCATAATGTTCTCTCTGGTCTAAATCCATGAACTGCAGTTTGCAAGCCTACCAAGGTAGCTGGCATTGGTGCATCTCGGGTCAGAAACAACACACCTCTTGTCCATTAGCAGGACAAAAATGGAAGTTTGGTTGGGCTGGAGATGCAAAGGTTTCCCATTTCATAAAACAAAATTCCCAAGTCTGATTTTTCCATTTTGGTATCTCCACTTGCTCTCCTATTTTTATTTTGTTTTCTTTCCTTTCTGTGCCCAAAACCTCTCAGCTTTGTAAAATGGAAGTAGCAAAAGAAAAATGAAAATGTGTGAGGAGGAAATCCACGAGTATTACTTAGGGATAAAGGAAGAAAGGGAGAGGCTGGCACCCCAGTTCTTCACATCAAAATACTTGGTTTTAACAGGCACAAAAGGTGAAGCTTCAAAGAGGATCCCAAATACAGTGTGAGTTTGCTTCAAAGAAGGATCACTTCTTTTTTTTTTTTTTCTTCTAAAACTGTGAATGAAAAATATGGGCTGCTGTTTTCCTGAGGAAGAAAATATAAAGGCATTTTTTAGTACGGCGAGGGAGACTGAGAAGTGCTCTCAAGCTGGCCACAGTTTGTCAGGTGCAGCTGCTAGGGCTTTGAACATAGCGGGATCTCTAGGAAACACTTCTGGCTCCAAAACTTGAATCTCTCTGAGATGCAAGCTAAGGCCATGGACGTGCTTTCTAAAGGAGATTATTTTTTCAACTGTAGGACAGAAGTCCTGAAAATAATTGCATTCACAGTATCTGTAGCCAAGTGTCTTGGCTTAAGCTGGATGGTGTTGGAGATCTTTAGACTGCAGAAGGAAGTATTTCAACAGCCTCTCTAGATTCAGGCTACTACCCGCACTGAAACCTGAAAAAGAAAGGGGAAGATGTCTTGCACCTACCACCTCGGGCATAGCTAGTCCTCCGTCTAGTTCAACATGTATGAGGATGCCTCAGAGGCGCTCGAGTCCCAGCTTCCTCCTTTTCTACTTCAGTCTGTGGGAACGTGTTGTTCTGTATTATTTTGGGGAGGGAAAAGGGGTTGTCCATCAGAGTAACTTCTTTGGGCCATTGGGTCTCTGATCTTGTAAGTAAGGTTATTTGTTTCAAATTGTAACTGAAAAAACTCAGATCATCTTTCTTTTTCAAGGGTTTGTGGTAGAAAAAGTCAAATTGCAAGATAGGAAGTTCAGAACAAATGAGGTCTTTTTGTCATGGAGCTTATCTAGGCTGTGAAATCTTTGCTCCAGGATGTTGTTGCTAAAATTTGCATAAGCTCCAAAATGATGGGACAAATTCATGGAAGGTCTTTTAGTTACACAGACACCTCTTTGAGTTCAGGAAATCCCTGACTCGCAAATGGCTGGAAGGTGATGGAGTACTCTGGGGTCTACAGTAATATCCTTGCATTGTCTTTGTTTTCTTCCAAAGGTGTCTGTTGTTGGTTGGTATCTTGGGGGGTGTTGTCAAGGTGGACCTCTGTTGTAACTTGGTGCAGTCAGTCTTTTGTTTGTCATTAGGCGAGAAGTTGGTCCTTTCATAAACTAGAAATGCGGAGGTACTGGAAGAAATCGGGGCCTGAACCCAATTCAGGTCTTTGAAGTTACGGTTTTCTTGTGTGCTTTTGTGTTTCGTGAAGCAGAAGTGTAAGAAATATATTCACAATGACGTCTTTGCATGACTCACTAATCAGCTGTGGCTCCAAGGGTGCTTGAAAAGTGCTTAAAAACAGTCTGCATCTCTCCCTGGGCCTCCAGGTGATCTGCGTATGTGGATGAGTCGGTCATGAAAGCTCAGCCACTCTGTGAGGCAGATTGTGCTGAGAGAGAGAGATCTGCTCTCTAAAAATATCCTGGAAGCAAACAAGAAAAAAGATCTGCTGAGGTCCGAGGATGATTCTGACCTTTAGGCTGCCATCTAATACTCAGTCCAAATTCTGGACTGTTTGCCTGAGATAGGTTCTG